TACTCCTAAACGGCTTGACTGATTTTTATGATTATTTTTTGTACATATGGGGTCAACGTCGGATGGTATTTAGTATATTTGGACCTAGTAGGTGAAGCTGTTGTAGAGATCTAATTTACTTTTTATTTTTAGACCAAATAATGTCTCTAGCAGGGCATCGTATGTAATGAAATAAACTTTATTCAATTAGACTAATACTGCACTTAAAACGCCAAATCAATTTAAAGGGCGTCAGTAGTCAGTTCGCGAGGAAGATACCAGTTCTCGGAACTCTCCCGGCTCGGAAAGTAGTTCTGCTGAGAAGACTACCGAAACTTTTTGTACTATAAATTTTTTTAAAGTTATATATTAGGTAGGTACTAAAATAGTTTTGGGATTTTAATATTGTTGTAAATGTTATGTTAAAGTACCTACCTAATAAGTGACATTATAATAATAATAGTTTTATTCGAAGCTAATCAATATTTACCTTCTCTATAATTAAATATCTATTATAAGTCAATGATGGCTACAAAAAATATTTTGATTCAATGGTTTTATCCTTACAAAATTTCCGCAACCTCTATTCACTTAGGTAGGTACATACCTAGCTACCTATAAAAGTTTTCGTTTTATATGTAACAACATAGCAGTGATAGCCCATAGGTAAAGCGCCCGCTGGAAAATCAAGTGAAGTGGGCTCAAATCCCTGATATTTTCATGTGTAAATCATTTCCAACATGATAACCATTTGCCTTACGGTGTAGGAAAACATATGTCAAGAGTAAACTTAATCTATGTCTACGAGAACTTAACAAGATTTAGAAAGACATGTGAAGTCCACTAACCCGCACTTGGCCAGCTATGGTTTAACCCTCCCAGTATTGAAGACAGTTGTCCTAGAGGGTGGTAAATAAGAACTCGGTCTGGTAATAACAATAATTGCATTTATTTTGCACGCTCCCGGCAGCTAGTGGCGTGTATCCGTGCTGTTACACATACCTACCTACTTTATAGCAAACATTACCTGAACTCATATTGACGTACATACACACGTATTACACACATAGTTATAAACCATCAAACTGCATTTTGATTGACTGTGGCATTTTATAATCGTTTTCTATCAGCTAGCTTTTCCAAAACCCTTCGTGGTCTCAGATCAATGTTACTGACATATTGGCTTGATAGTTCCTTAATTCTTTCTTGATAGTTAGTTAAGTAATTTATAAAAATAGCTAAGTATTATGACATCATATGATGGAGGAATGTAGATTTCGCAATTTACAGTGGAAATATTCTAAGGCAATATGGTATAAATTTGGAACATACAAAGCAAACATATTTCCTATAAATCTGTCGTAAAAGACATGTTTAGTTCTAAATTAAATCGCCCTAATAATAATAAGGATTCAAAACACGCATCTTTTTAAAATAGAATAGAGCAAGGACTGATAATGTAAGCTACAGGTATAGTATTATGTTACATCATGGGTTTTAACTGAACCTTTATGTGTTGAAATCTAAAGAGAAATTTACTAGCGACATCTTTAATGCTTAGAGATTAAAACGTTCATCGTAGCCTTCAATTACAAACTAGTGAAAGCAAACTACAATAGATGTCGCTTATGTCATAAACATGAATAAAAAATTCTATAGGTAGGTATATGAAACAGACAATAGAATTAACCCTTAAAAATTACGAGACGCTTTATCAAATGACCAAAGAAAGAAACCGATCGGTAAAACGCGAACAGAAGTTACAAAAGAAGTAAAAAACAAAGCTGACAAATGAAGTGATAGGATTAAAGCTTGCATGTCATTTTTTTTTTATTTAAATAGGGAAGAATTTTGCCTTTTTATCTCGCCAGATGTCGCGATCACTATAATTCGCAGTAGGTATATTGTAAAGTTCTATAGCATGGATGATTTTTTTTTTCGTTTTATTTAAAATTTAATTAAAATGACAAATTATGCAGAGTCCAGAATGCATAGACAATGGATATCATTTGTTCCCAAAAGACAAAAACTGAAGAAATTGTGAGCTAAAGCAATAAGACGAATCGGCGATATCACAATCTTTAGGTATATTTAAGGCTATGTGGACATTATTTTAGAGAAAGTGATTTTAAAACTCTTAAAACGTCTACAGGTGTAAATCGTAAGTATCGTGTAAATAACAAAATGAAAAATCGGACAAGTGCGTGTTTGACTAGCACACCGAGGCTTTCGTAACAAATCCATACTTAATATTATAAATGTGAAAGTGTGTTTGTTTGTTTGTTTGTTTGTCTTTCTTTTACGTCGAAACGGCTTGGCGTGATTTTTTGTATGGAGATAGTTGAAGGTTGGAGAGTGACATAGGGTACTTTTTACCGCGGGAGATTATCACTTTCCTACGGGAAAACACGTAATACAATAAAAAAAAAATTATGATCAGAATTACTTAAAACTTGGTATTAATACTCTTTAATACAATTAATTAAATACATGTTTTAGCATTTCTCGAAATTCATTCCATAAGGGTGTAAAATAGCGGATGAAAATTTGTGTGAATCCTACCATTTTAGATTTTTTTTGTAGTTTTAGCGCGAGCAAAGCCGCGGGTTCTGCTAGTAGGTTTATAAATCCAAAAAAAAAAATTTTTTTGTGATAAAGCTACAGATTTACTGCTTTTGGATGTTTCCCTTAACTTGTGGTATAATACATTGCTTCTTGCCAAATTTCAAGATTATAGGTCAACGGAAAGTAACCTATAGTTTTAATTCTTTATAAGAATATTTTTATACCATCCATTATGATGTAACTCGCCACTAGTTAGCGTTGTGTAGCGCATCAACTTCTATACTGCTGTTCAACTGATTGCTATGGAAATTGGTACATATGTAGATTTAGTACATTGAATATTTTTTCATTTTTCAGATTTTCGGGCAATTAAACATATTGTCATAACAATGAGGGACACACTTAAAAAATGAAACATCAATAAATTTTTAAACCAACTTTATTTTTAGCTAAAATATAATAATCCATACATCAGAAGTTATCTAGTAAGTAATCAGTTACAATACCGCAGTAATACAAAGTAAAAATCAATAAAATAAGCTACCTTATGGATACATATAATGAAAAAGAAAAAAATAAATCAAAAACGCCTGCATTTTGTGCTATTCTCATGTAAAATTCAGATCTTAAAACTATAGAAATGAACGGGGAGGTTATTTGGACGGTTGTCAAGTAAAAACCAAACGTAACGAAATAACCAGAAAAAAATGTTGCGCTTAGGAACGTTACTTTTGAAAGCATGAAAAATTAAAAAAAGTAAAATTTAGCCGTTTTCTAAACGCATCATTGAATTTTATGTGCCGAATTTAGTAATCACAAAACACTGTAAAATGTACTTTAACATATCAAACATAAGATTTAAATTAGCAAGCAAACATTAATACGAAATAATCACCGTGCATTGCAGATACGACAATGTCTTAAATTGTCAATTAGATATTTTTTATCTGTCCATAGATTAAAAATCTACAACACACAGTGACATTTCCCTCCAAAATTCGGCACAACCACAGATAATAACAGAGCAAATAGTAGTTGGTAAGATAACGAACAACACTTGACGTCACTAGAGACGAAACACCAATGATTATGTAAATTGCTTAGTACAAACAGACGTACATACTATACTAGTATGGCAAACTATCCTGATATGCGAACCCCGGGGTCAGCGAGCGATGCCGGAAACTTAACTATACTTATACTACGACCTCCTCTAACATAGCCACTTATTCTAATTGTTAGTAAAAATCTTAACGCATTCAAAATATATATATAGCTGCCCCTAAACGATAGTGTATAAGTGTGTCGTGTTGGTTGTTACTTTGTGGTTCGGATAACCGAAACCGTGACACGATTTCGTGATTAAAATTCTATGGAGAATGGTTACAATTGGTTATGTAGCCAAAGTAATCAGTAATGCAACTTCTTAACTCTGTTACGATTCAACGGATTGGAGTGAAATTTGGAATAGAGATATATGTATAACGCAAGCAGAGTCGCGAGCTAGAAACAGTGATTTCATACTTGAATGCAATCCAAATTTAACAACCAAAACGGTGTTTACATATGGCATATAATTTGTCGGTCTCGTAGAATTAATCACGACAACCATCACGGGTTCGGTTAACCGAACCCACAACCGTAACGTTGATACTACACTATGTATAGTATACATATATTCTGTCAAATATTTCTGTGCCTATACATTTAAGCCGATTGAGAAGCTCGTAAAGGGTAAAAAGTGGACCATTAAATCTACGTGAAATGTTTGTACGTAACATCTTGTACTGAATAAACAAACAGACAAACGGAAAAAGCGTTCTTATATATATTATATAATATAATACATAGTATTTGATCGCTTAAACCTATCTTATACTCCATACAAGTTAAATACATAGATACAGTTGAAACGATAGTTCTACAAGCAAGCACGGGATTTTACGTATAGTTATTGATATGATTTCGACTTATTATAAAAACCCCACGATATTTCGAATCATAATTTCGTACGGACCGAAAGTTTGTGCTGTTGGTAATGTTATTTGTGACGCTAAAACCAATTCCATATAAACGGTGCTAAAAACCTCGCATTTCACTCTATCGTTTGACGTATTTAAATAAGTTACTTGTAAAACATTTGAGCGTTCATTTGTGCTTGTAGAGTCCTACCATTTATTTTAATGAAAAGGGGTAGAAAAGTGGACCTAGCTATGCCGAAACAATCAATAAATTAATTCTATATATAATTAGGTATAAATAGAAATCAGAATTTATGATATAATTATTATTATATATTTCTGTAGATTTTAAACGTATTTCATTTAACTTTACTTATAGCTTAGATATAGCATAACCAAGTCCAGTAGTTTTTATGAGTAACCTATTTAAAGTGGTGAGAGCGAGCGAGAGGGGTATAGTGCGTGGGCGCGTGCGAGCAGGACGGCGATAGCTTACATCGTGCTGTTGTCCCACTCGAGCTGGCTGATGTTCCTGTATTTGTGCTGCTTGCCGGACATCACTGGGAAAGAGATATATTTATTATTTATATTAAAAAAAACTAGAATAACACGCTTTTAATCAACTATAATGTATATGTAGGACATGTTAAAATGAATCAATTGAAACCAACCTCGAAGTGCTAGTAGTAGCAATTATTTTTTTTGTTTGTGTTCCAAATTGTCTTTTAAAATATATTTTATTAATTAATAAAATGTGATTAACATATACAACACCATTTCTTTTAAACTTTCTATGTAAATGTATCTTTGATAGATCCCATATCTTTTCGCATTGTTTTATAAGGTGGTAAAATAAATATAAAAACATGCACGATGCATCCAATAGTCAATAAACATAATATACAAACCTTCATCCTCCTCGTCAGACGATTCGTTGTGCGAGTCGGAGTCGGAGCAGGACTCCGCGTCGGAGTCGTCGCCCGCCGCGCCCGCGCCCGCGCCCGCCGCGCCACGCTCTGTCACCGCCTGCTGGCATTACCGAGTAAAATTTTTATCTAAATAGCCCATGTGTTTTTTTAAGCTTATACACTTATACAAGCATACGCTATCCCCCCTAAAATCCATTAGGTTGTTACTGCATTAAAATAATATTATTCACACAGTCTATTAATTCGTACAGCTGTCTAACGAAGGTTTTCTAGACAGGGCAGTCGTGCAGGGGGAGACGTGGGAAAGGCGTTCCCGACTGCCGCATGTACTTTCAAATTTATACTGCCTATTGAACGAAACATCGTGAGGAAACCTGTATGTCTGAAAGAATTTAGCAAGCTTTCGAAAACCATGTGAAGTCCGCCAACACGTATTTGGCTAGCGTGGACTATGGCCTGATACCTCGCATTGAAGGAAGGCTCGTGCCCAGCAGTGGGACATTAAAAAGGGCCGAATATATTAGACAGTTACAATTCAATTCAATTTTTCTGTTAATGGCGTCAAAGCGTGCCAATTGAGCACAGATTGCTTCGCCAATATCACGTAGAATGGAGAAGACACGAAGAAGATCGGTTACACAGTCACACTAGTCGGCCGGCACCGGCTCCGGCACGGAGCATGTCTCACCTCCTCCATGGGGTTGACAGTGATGGTGAGCGCGGAGTCGTCCCACGCCATCTCGCCGTCGTGCGGCGCGAGGCGCAGGGCGCGCGGCGGCGCGCGGGCCCGCGAGCGCGCGCGCGCCGCGCCCAGCGCCGCCAGCGCCACCAGCGCGCCCACGCACACCGCGCCGATCAGGACCGCTACGTTGTCTGTTGGGATGGCATTGAGTTTGAACACGCCTTCTATTCCTCGTACGTAGCGCTCGACTTACACTGGGGGCACTCGGGGCTAGTGCCCAGGGCGTAAATTGTCAGGGGCAAAATTCGGAGGTCGAGAAGAAAATACTCTTCTCGTTATCGAAAACTCTTTCTTTATTTACCAAAAAAATAATAATAATAACAAATCCTAATTGAATAAAGTCAATTTTTATTCATTAATTCATTGTAAACCCCGAGTAAATCCAAACTGTGAGACAAGTATACACTATACGTACTGGAGGCGTGTTCATGCGTGCGCTCGCGCAGGTCGAGCAGGCGCGCGGCGGGCATCTCGGCGGCGTGCGGCGAGCGCAGCGCGTGCGCGGAGAACGCGCGCGGCGCCGTCATGGCGCCCGCGATGCTGTTGCTAGCCGCCGACTGCGGGAGGTAGGTTTGTTTTTGTACATTCTTCTATATTTTATAGGTTACATTTGTGTAATTTTGTAAAAGAAATAAATGAAAGAAAAAGAATGTATATTGTATGTGCTATATGCTGTGTATATTAATTTAATTTTCCTATATTTCAGAGAAATGTGAGAAATACTCAATTTAAATTTAATTTTATTATATTTCTGTTGTACATATGATGGTATCTTCCCCAAATGTGAACCGTTATTAATTTTACATGAATTTTTATTTATTTATTTTAAAAAATACGTAAACAAAACTTATAACGATAATATATTTTAATGAATTTCCTATATATAAGTTATGGTGAAGACATACATCGTTACAAAACGTCAAGGAGAGTTTTTATTTGGTAGATTGTTTCAGTTTAAATGTTCCACAAAAACCAGTTTTTCTAGAATATCTATAAGTATAAAGATAGCTACATACCTTGTCCCGTGCGACGTCCAGCTTGTCGGCGAGGCCGGAGGGGCGCTGCGCGTGCGCGTCGCCGGCGGCGCGCGGGTGCACTACCGTCAGCTGGAGCATTCATACATACCAATGTTACTATTTTCAACCGACTTCTTCAAAAAATTGAGAACAATCTGTACTCGATTCGGCTGCATATTTTTTTTCGGTTCGCCAGCCGATACAAATCAAAGCACACCGACTTTGAAAATATCTGATTAAGTATCTATAGTAAATGAAAACTACCAATCAGTAATTTTTTGCTTTTTAGTGTTTTTTTTTGAAGTCGGTTTTTTTTTAAAGTTTTGTTGTTTTATCAACCTAAATTTCAATTAAACTCATAAGCTCTAAAGGTTCATATGATAATGTTTAATAAAAAATGGAGCTGTAATTCTGTTTTTTTTTAATTTAATTAATTATTATTTATTTAAATTAAACTTAACCATATTTCATTAAACAAAAAAATCCATACAGTATATACTCGTGTGTACATTATTGAATAAATAGTCTCATTGTTAACCTAATCACGACATTACGAAAAAAACGTATCGGTATGAGACTTTGACCAATGACGCGGGATGGTCTGTAGGTTTGTTTCTCTGGATTTTGTTTCTGTGGTTTAAAGCTATTTATTTTTTGATTTCCAAATACTCGTCGTCCCTTAAGGGGGTGAAAATGGGGATGACAGTTTGTATGCGCAATTAACTTATACATAAAGTGTGTCCATACCGTCTGTACGTATTCATTACTGGTGAAGCGTCCGTTGAGCTCGGAGCACGTCAGCTTGAATACGCGGTTGAGGTAGTACGCCGGCTTCTTGTTGCTGTACTCGATCTCGCGCAGGACCTGCCACATGTCGAATGTAATGTTTATGCCTCTTTCTCTAACTCTTTCTCTCTCTCTTGCGTTTGTTACTCATATTCATTGTAATTTAATTATACTATTACAAATATGAGATGGTGTTAAATGATTTCAATACGAGCCCGTTGAGCACAGATTACTTCGCTAATATCATGTGGAATGAAGGGCAAATCAGTGTAAAGTGTATAATAAAAGCTTTACCTTCTGGTAGTTACACATAGCGTCACTCAATTTTCTTGTGAATGGCTTTTGGTCTCAAATTGTGTCAATTGAGCGCAGATTACACCAATGTCACGTAGAATGGGGTGTAAATTATACAGTGGTAATAGAAGCAAATAGAGAAATGTAACCTTCTGGTAGTTATGCACGGTGTCGGCGCCGGTGAGGCTGACGCCGTCGCGCGTGAGTGCGGCGCGCACGTCGGAGGCGGGCAGCGCCGCGGCGCCGCGCAGCGCCAGCGCCTCGTGGTCGGGGTTCAGCGCCGGGTACACCGACACCACGCACGAGTCCAGCTTCTGGCTCTCCGCTTCTGTGATGAGAACACATTCACACTATTAATATCCCATTGAAGTTACACTAGTATGAAGCTAATTTAAAATATTAACCTAATTAGAGTTGTATCGACGTGAAAATTTGCAGGTGTATTATGTATAATTATAATGATAACATATTTTGTACTCGGTTCATTATATAGTGTTGAGAGTCACGTATAGTGAAAGTATTCGGCGTATAGTGAAACGAGTCTTCTTTAATTCTTATCTTCTAATTTTTAGAATTTAAATTCAACTGGTCTGTTTTGATAAATTTAATAATTATGAAACAAAAAGTTAGACCTTGACGAAAATTATAATAAATGGAGTTTTTTAACTTAACTACTTTGTAATGTTAAATAAAATAATCTTTTCGGATTCATTCGCGGATTTATTTTGATTTTTGGTTCCAGACATTTTATTAAAATTTTTTGAATTCATTTTGTTATTTTGTGGGTAGGCTGTCTGTAAAAACTAAGTATGTAATACCTTTGAGACACCTAAAACCTTAGTTTTTCCCATGACCATGATGCTGTAAAACACTCGAAATATCGGGAACCAAAAATTAAAATTAAATCCGCGAAAAAATCCAAAGAAATTGTTTTATGTTATTTAAAATGTCAAATATTCGCATAAATCTAAGAAAGTATTAACTAATTTATGATAAAGTATTATAATTACAAAGCATGGCATACCTCTGACGGCGTCGCCGGCGCGCGCGAGCACGCGCACGCGCAGGTCGGGGAACACGGGCAGGCCGGCGCGGAAGTGCGCGTAGTCGCGCGCCGCGTCCGCGCTGCCGTTTAGCAGGATGGTGGGCGTCTGTGGCGCTAGCACCATCACGTACGATTCCGCTGGCCGCGCTTGGATGATGCGCCCGTTATCGCAGCTGTGTGCCAAAGAGAGATACAGAGAGAGTTACATGGAAGTTGTGTAAGGTAGAAAGAGATAGGGTGCTTTTCAGTATGATAGTGTGCGTACGACTTTGTTAGCTTGGTTGATGCGTGTATTTTCGCAGCTGTGTGCAAAAGAGACAGAATGAGCAGTATAAGGAAGAAAGGGATAGAGTACCGTTCAGTAGGATGATAAGCGTATGATTTGAACGATCACGCATTCATCATTCATCTAATAGAGATAGCATAGGACCACAGGCGCTACTAAAGTCGCTGATATTCCAACTTCGGGTTGACCAAACCGATGTTCGAAATCAGCGTCACCAGATCTACAGGTATACACGCCTAGCCACCAGACTAGCAAAGCAGATCCTTAGTTGTGTGGTCTGCTACGGCAGGCCTGCCATCGAGGCCTCGTTGTTGAGTGTATAAGCAATTCTAAGAAGCCCCAATAAAACGAAGAAGTTTATTCAAATAAAAAATAAGCAGTACTTACGTGATGGTGGTAGCGAGGTGCACGTTCCGGCGGCCGGGCGTGGGGAAGGCGCGCGCGTCGCCGTACGCCACGCGCCGCACCAGCGTCTCCACTTCCGCCGCGCCGTCGCCCTCCACAGATACTGACTTTAGATCTAGATGGGAATGTAGCGTTGGTTTTATTCTGACTTTGCGACTGCTAAATAATTGTAACTTCTATGTGTAATGGAGCTATGTATGCAATAATTTAATTTTAATACCAAATTGATAAATAATATTATCTTGTAATACATATACAGATCATTTCTGTGGACTAAATTCTATTCAAATCCGACACGCTACCTTACGCATATGCGCACAACTAAAGAATTGATTTATATAAATAAAAATAAATGACCGTATGTTTGTTCTCTATGCGTACTTAACCATTATATTATATTATTCTTTATACGCCTGCGAAGATTCCTAGCGCACAATAGAAGATTTTTTTCTTTGGACGTTTTTCATGCGTTTCTAAACCATACAAGCTTACTAATATTTAATATTTATTCTAAGATACGTACAGAGGTCGGGCGCGAGGCTGAGCCCCTCGCGGCAGCGTGCGGCGCAGCGCAGCGCGGCGGCGGGCTGCACGCCGCCCGGCAGCACGCCCAGCCCTGCCATCCACCCGTGCATGTGGTGCTTCATGTCGTCCTCTGTGCCTGCAACACACACACATACATATACATACACAATGTTGACACAGTAAGTTAGTACTGTTAGCTTGGACGACAAGTTTGGCTCATTTTGTAGTGACCCTACTTGCTGTGCCAGCGGTCGCGGGATCGAGTCCCGCTGGGGGCATTAATTTTTGTGACGAGCACGAATGTTGTTGTCCAGTCATGGGTGTTTATATTTATAATATGTATGTATTTAAAGTTATATATGCGTAGTGTATCAACTATCCATATCCATAACACAAGCTTCGTAGCTTACCATATAAATAGATGGTGCTGTCTGTTAATGTCCCAGCATTATTATTTTATTTTTTATTTTACAGAATAAGGCTAAGAATGTATATGTATAGAATTATACTTACAACCATAAAATCTAATATAAAAATTACTAAATTTTCCTCAATTTTTAAATAGCAAAATTTGTTTTTTATTGAAGTATACTATTTTTAATATATCTGTGACATCATAGGTATTTCTCGTTTTGAATAATCGATATTTATTTATTTATTATCAATGAGTTTTTATTCGAATAATAATTAAGTTCATTTTTGCAAATATTTTATGTAAATACATATTACATCAAAGTATATTTTATTTTTGTTGTTTTTCAAACGTTCTCTTATATTTCTATATTACTATATAGTTTATAAATTCTCGATTAGCAATGTATATTCAGTACTCACCCTGCCAGCAAGCTCCTACTACCAAGGTAGTGTTAACACCATGTGCCGGATGAAGTGGCCAGTCGTCGATGACCTCTGGTGCCTTGGCGTCTGGAGCGCGCCAGAGCTCACCGTCCACGAACAACTCCACATTGGGGAAACGCACGTTCACGGCGTAGTGATGCCATTCATTGTCGCATACCTACCATAAACAATAATAATTAAATTCAGACTTTCCTTTGATTAAAATATTAAAGAACAGATTTAGGTTTTACTTTCAATGATATTTTAAACAAAATTATTTTACACATTTCATCGCGTTTTATTTTTGATTTGAAATGTTTATGAGTTACAACACACATGGTCACTGGGGAGACTAAGTATCTTGACCTCCCAAACGTGATATATATCTATACATATAATAAAATTGTAACTAAGTCGAATCTGTACATTAAATATTTTTTTGGAAAATCTTATTGAAATAAACATTATTATCGATATGGAGGCCGAATCTATCGTTTTTAGAATTTTTGTAGCTAGTTATCCGGGTGTTGACCCGGACAAACACATAGGATACTTTTTACCGCGGGAACATACATATATCATTTCTGAGAAAAAAATACAAAACTGCATTGTAAAAGTATACTAATGAGAAAACCATTGGACAGATTTTGATGAAATTTGGTATAATAATAGCTGGTTATCCAGGTCAACATTTAGGATACTTTTTACTGCGGGAAAATATCTCATCTCTGAGAAATCTATACTATCTCTTAAAACGTATCTAGGGACGAATCCGAGCGGAGTGAGGGTGAGTCGCTAGTATTAAACATAAACTTCGAGTCGGCGACCATGTTTTGTTTAGGTTTAGGTATAACTAGATCATCACAATACATCCAATACAATGAATACTATGACATCTAAAATAACATAAAAATCCAAAGTTATATTTAACGTAAAAGCTCAGTAAACTCATTTGCTATGCCAAGGAGTTATTAAAATTGTTATTAATGTACTGGAACTTCACAAGGTTACAGCTTGCGTGTGTTTAACTGTTTAGTGTACAAGAACTACTAATTTTAATTTAATTTATGACTCGTTTTGTGCAGAAGTAGAATGAATAGTTTAACTGTTCAAACTGTATTTTTGAATATAATGCATTGCTCAATACAAAATCAATCTATACTTTTAATTAAAACTCTTAGAAATAAATAAAAAGGCATCTTTCTCTTGCACTTCTCTGCTCCGCTAAATGACATTCTTTCTGAAACCCATAGGTTGACTGGATGAAACCCATTTCTCATCATTTTCAGACTGGATTTCTCGTAGTATAAGAACTATGTATTTTTAGGTGCAATAAAGTATACAAATGACGACATTAAAACCATAGCTATATTTTTTTTAATAAAAAGTTAAACTTAAATTTATACAAAGTATTGCATACCTCAGGCAACTTCCAGCGCCATTCTGCAGGTCTGAAGATGTTCAGATCTCCTTCTCCGAAGTCTCTCCTCAGAAGGAGAATGAGACGGCAGTTACGTACGAAAAGTGCGTAGTGGTGTCGGTTCATTTCTGTAAAAATACATATATTTTCAGTTGAATATATAGAGAAAATCGGTTCTATTTGCAAGTAATTGTTTTAAGTAACGAGTTGCAATCGTTTTTATTATTCAAATGTATTTTACATGATTATAGTCAACAATTACAAGAGATGAAGACATTATCCTAATGTTCAACTATTAAATGTCAGCCAAGGGAATGTAGAGTCATTAAGATACTAAATATTTGAACATTTAGCTTTCATTATTTTTAATATTGTTATCGTTATACCAATTGCGGTGCCCAAAATGATGGAATTAAAAAAAAATATAATTAAAATATTTAACCACCATCATAATACTGTAGAAAACCAATAAATACAATTGTACTCACTATGATCATCAGCCAAGCACACGATATGTTCTTTCCTGTGCTTATCGTGGTCGGGGGGAGGAGCATGTCTTAACCATGTGCTGATGGAGAAGGTGGATCCAAGGGAATGTTTCAGGATAGTCTCCGGAACAACAGCTGACGTGGACTCTCCATCGAACTCGAACATTTGCTCCCCATCAGGCCCTAAATATAAGACAATACAGATAATCTAAGACTTTTTTTCTTTCTTTACAATAAAGGAAATTACAAATATACTTAACTAGCGACTCACCATCCCTAGGTACGTTTTAACAGTAAGTATGGAATAATAATAATAATAAACCTTGAGATTACAATGTATATCTTTGAATTCGTTAAAACGTAATAAATTATTTAGATATTTCAAGACGTTTTTATAGTATATAATAGTTAATACAGAATGTAGGAAAATGCAGTTAGGAATTAGCATATGTCGAAAGATATTTCAGCACATGTCATGCTCTAAGTAGAGCAAAACTAAGTTCCTCTGTCGGTCTAACTTCGGAGCAAGCGATTACAGTCGAATCGATACAGTGCGGATCAAAATTTTAGAGCTTTGCTGAATTTCGATATTACTATATCTCCTTAATATTGTATAACATCTATTGATTTAATATATTATAATTGCAAATGAAGACATAAATTAATTCTTATAAGATTCTCGCATTGGTAGACCAGTGGTAGCTTAGTGGTAATGCGATTGCTTGGGAAACCAAATAAAGCGGGTTCAAATGCCGGGTCTCGCACTTCTGATATTTCTGTACGTCTGACAAAACCTAGCAAGTTTCCAAAAGACATGTGAAGTTCGTGAACTTGCACTTGGCCAGCGTGGTGGACTATGGCCTGACCCCCCTTGTGGTAAAGGGAGGTCTGTGCCCAGCAGTAGGTCGTTAAAAAAGGGCTGAGTACAAGATCTAAAGGTCTTTATACCGAAATCACGGGTTCGCATCCCGCTTTTAATCAATATTTCTATTAGTATTTGTTAGTCTACATTGCTTATAGTAGTGTAGTGATACCTGAAAATGAAAGGCTGTTACATCTTTAAGGATTTTCAATATACGTATACAAACCTGAGTCTGGTTTCAAAGACTTTGCCCACTCGTTGCCCGCGCCGGGACTCGGCAGCAGATCGACAGTTTTCGAATCTAAACCTAGAATTAGAAAAATGTTTAGGATTAGAAAAGACGTAAGTCTACTTTTAACTCCAAGAAAAAGTGTTGGATTTGGCATTATTAATGTTTATATAAACTATGATTTAGTTATTCTAATTTCACATACATAGTTTTTGAGTAAAATAGCTGAAAATAAACTGATGTTATAAATAACGATAACAAAATATGTTTTGGGTATTTACTTAATCTTATACAAAATTTAAATTACTATTTTTATATATGTAGCTGTTAACTCTCCACCACAATCGTCATACAAATATTTAATCAACTGACGCGTGTGAGTTTCCTACTAACCACAAATAGTTCTTTGAGAGTGTAAAGTGTATGTATCTCGGTCACAGGCGACTCCCGCCCTGGAGGCTTGCAGTGTGACCGCTGCTTGGATCCTCGTGACTCCTGGACATCTCTCATCACTGGAGCACGCTTCCAGCCTTGCAGCAGGGAAGAGGGCCAGCGGACCTGTTCCTGGCGCGTAGTCCACACGCTCTGCTAGACCTAGGGAAGATTGAGAAGCGAATAAGAATTTGAAGAAAACTAAAATAAACTACTAAATACTCAATACTAAAAGCAAAATCTCAGATTTTGCTTTTAGTATTGAGTATTTAGTAGTATTTTTATTTTATATATGAGATTAAAATACCTAGTTAATATTTTTACAATAAAATTTTAATTTTGCATTATTATCGCTTCTAGGAAAACTCTTTTATTTCAGATATTACATATTAGTCACGGTCTGAACGCTTCGTTTCATGTAAAGAGAACAAATCGGCAAACTTATGTTAAAGGATTAATCATCCGAGTTTATAGCGAGCAAAAGCTCTATGTTACGTTTGGAAAGTTCCGCGCGACACAGAGAAAGGAGCTTTATGATGCCATTTCATAATTTCTTCACATTGTGTTAAGAATGAAAGTTGGGAATGTAGTATATTATATAATTATGAACATTTGCAATCCTTTTATACAAAATGTCTGTAATGTTCATTTGAAGGTACCAGCATTATGATTGGGAATTTAGTTGCTATATTCTTCTGTCACGAAGCTAACATATATATTTTATATTTTTAATTATATTTAGGCAAAAATAAATAAATTTTTAAACAAAAAAATCTTTTATGTTAATATATTTCCGTCCGCACCATATGTTGAATAATTCAAATAAGTTTTTCATATACATATTTTGTTAAAACAAACATTTATCTTGTTACTAAGATAATATAGTATTTATATTGTTTGGATGTGAAGTTGTCCATCAAAAAGCCCATCTCCATCCCACGAGCTCCACAGTCTCATACCGCCATAGCTATTCTTCTATCGGAACATCAGACGTACTGCAGGATACCATCCTTTCTTGGTTGACATTCCGACCACTCGCACTAAGCGCTATTCGTGATCTTTTATAATGCGCACAGCCAACAAGTGGAATGCCCTGCCTGCGTCTGTTTTTCCGAGTGCGTATAACCTGAATCTATTTAAGGTGCGTGTTAACAGGCTTCTCCTGGGCAAACTCGCTAGATCGTAGACCTTATACAGATAAGGTAAGGCCTTCGAGCTAAGATGAAGGTCAAGAGTGAGCCCATTTCTAATAAAAAAACCCTCTAATATTAAGAAAAACCAACAACGCCACCTGCCTCTATCCCGTCAGAACAATAGTACAGTATTATATGTTTCCCTTACCCTTCCACCCAGCACGGCAGGGCTTGTTCACTTTTATGGTGACCATGACAGGAGCCGACTGCATCATGCCGCAGTCGTACGCGACCACGGACAAGATGTGGTTGTGCGACTTGTCGTATTCTAACGGCTCTGTGTTGCGGATCACACCTGGGAAGACAATAATTAGTGTTTATTTTTATGCCTTCATTAGTTATATTGGAACTAGCAACTAACCCTTTCTTAGTTCGGATGCCCCACAATTTACGGATAGCGCCACCTTTTGTCAATTTTTATTACTAACATTAGCTCATGTGTTACACCTGACCTCTATCTGTGTATCTAAATATCATCCAAATCCACCCAGCCGTTTTAATTCAAAGAAGTAAAAAAAGTACACACACTTTTTAGCTGTTAAAAATGTTTTATTGTTCTAGTAAGATTAAGATTCTTCCCCATTTTTTTAATTTGCCTAAATAAAATTTAGTCAAAATATATACAATTATTATGTCTCATAAGAACTATCCTATGTCCTTCCGACGATGTCAAACTATCATCTTGCCAAATTTCATCTAAATCGGTTCAGTAGTTTCGGAGCTTATTCGTTACAAACAAACAAACAAAAAAATCTTTCCTCTCTATAATATCAGTAAAGTACGAGTATATGCATGTGCAAAAGGCATTTTAAATAATACACAATAGGCTCATTATCAAAATTACCTTCATTATTGATGCTAAAGGGCTGGCTGCGGTCTCCATCGTTTAATATTTCGTACTTGCACACGTCCCCGTAGCGCGGGGTACAGTCTCTATCAGTGGCCTCTACCCGCACTATCTCATCGTACAGCTTCCCTTCATCTACGGAGCGTACGTACGCCGACTGACTGAATACTGGCGGAAATTCGTTCACATCCGTCACTGTTATGTGTACGGGAACCCTGAAACGTGGTGTAAAATTAAGTAAAAATACTTCGAGTTGCTTAGCAATTTTTATTTTACATTCTTATCATTAATATAGACATAAATTAAGTCTAAAAATACTTAGCATTTTTTTAATATTAAAAACTAATTTACAGTATGAAATTATCACTATGCAAGATTGATAGATGCACACATTTACATACAGACAGAAAGAGCATCTTCGTATTCGTTGAAACCTTCATAATAAGTTCATTCAATCAGTGGATAAATGGCATAAATTTCAAATAAACATTTTGTTAATATTACTTCCGAAATATAATCATTATTTATAAAAAACCTCCACTAGTAGTTCATAAGAATATGTATCAATTCTAAGTAGAAAGAAACTCAGCAGGACAATAATTTTGTACAGGTCAATACTATAAAAAAAATTAAACATAAAAAAACGGATCGAATCGTTCTCAATACGTGTTATCTTCTAAAATTACTTGTAGACAACACACCAAATACATTAACATTTAGAGAATCGTTTGTTAAAAACGCGGGTAGTTAGAAAAATACATACGTGTTAGAATAAGAGCCGTCGCAGCCAACAGCGGCGATGTCGAACTTATAGTTGCGACGTTTCTCGCAGTTGAGTGGGTAGCGCACGCGCAGCCGCGCTTCGTTCTCATCTATCACCATTATCTGAAAAGAAAATATACATTTTGAAAAATATCGATATATGGCCATAGTACATCATACTAATATTATAAATGCGTAAGTTTGTAATGTATGGAATATGAATGTCTGAAAGTATAGAAGTATGGATATTTGTTACTCTTTCACGCAAAAACTACTGAATGGATTTTAATGAAACTTTACAATAATATATCAGACAGTTCATAACACATAGAATACTTTTTATCATGGAAAAATTTATGTTTCCCGTGGGATAGATTTGTTTAAATCTAGAGGCGAACTCGAGCGATGCGAGGGTGAGCCGCTAGTATATACAAAATTTGTATAGGTACTATCGATACGATTTAGTAGGTATGTTAACAACAGTCTAGCTATTAGAGTGAAGAGTGCAAATAAACAGATTGACAAAAAAAAATTAAAACTGTTAGATTAGTTTTTAACTATATACACATTTTGTGATACGATAGGCCTGGCATAGTCTTAAAAGATTCAAAGACCTTTAATTTTTAAAGAATAAAAAAACTATCTACATGATACTTCCCTTCTAGTATCATTAGTCATTACAAATGAAACTAATTCCAACGTATTCTAAATTATGTTGTGTCTATTTTATTATATGTATGTATGTTTATTACAAAAGACATATGTACTTAAACGAATAAGTTTTAAAACATATAGAGTTTTAAGATAGTTATTTTTAATTTTAAGCGTACAATTAAGACCGTAGTACCTACTATAGATTTAAAATATATAACATTAATATAATTCAGCACAATCGTCCTATATACATGACCTCCCTACAGGTAGATATCGATCGGACGAGTCGCGACGGACGCTCGACATCGCATCTATTTTTGTATTGTGAAAGTCTAACCAGAAACGTGAATCACGTGTAAGATGTTCGAAACTGCTATTGCTATTAGCCCCACATCTACTCGTATATACGTATATATGCCATATATGGCAAAAAGATAACGGTTTCTGAAGATTGAATATTGTTAGAATGGACTTTTTTCTTATAAAAAGGTTTACACAAAACTAACAGTTTCGATCTTCGTAATGGAAACAATCTCTAGGTATACCTATAGATAACGAGGATTGCTGTAAAATCGCTAAAGTAGTTAAACAAAAGAAAAAGTATGTATGTATGTAAGTCTTCTATATATAAAAGGCTTTGGGTAATATAAGGGCCTCCCACTCATCTCACATCATAAGATGGAGAGTTGAAGGTTGAATAACTCGTTAGCAGCACAGTGGCCACGAAATTGATTTGTTCGATAGTTAGGAGTTTGACCTCCACATGCCGTAATCTCTCGTACCTCAAGATATCATATTACGCTCATTTGTACTAATATTATAAATAGGTAAACTTTGTTTGTTTTTTTGTTTGTTTGATTATTTGTTTAAACGCGCTAATCTTAGGAACTACTAATCTGGTTTGAAAAATTCTTTTTGCATTAAATAGCCCTTATATAGCTAGTATTACTCTAATGCATAATTTATTATATAAAACGATTACTACAAGCTATATGTGATAAAATTTACATTATTCAATTCAATTTTCTTGTTAATTAAAGGCTTCAAAGTGTGCCAGTCGAGCACAGATTACTTCACCAATGTCACGTAGAATGGAGAAAATACGAAGGAGATAGGTCAATAAATACCTTTCATTTATAAACATTTGTTCAAACTAATCATATATCCCTATTTAATGGAACTGAATAAATTAAGCTAATAATGATATCGAGTCGTCGAGTCGACACGTAGTAGAATCGTGTTAGATGCAGTCTTGTAAGTTGTAACATAAAACGCGAGAGGTCGGAACAAAAGGAAGCAATAAAGAAGCTGCGCTTAAACTTATTGCGTTCTTGGCTTTAAAATAGAAATAACATTGACAGAATAAAAAGGCGATTTTATTCCTTGACAACACGTTTAGCTCAGTTTGTAGTGACCCTTATTGCTGTGCCAACGTTCGCGGGTTCGAGCCCCGCTGGGGACATTCATTTGTGTGATGAGCACGAATGTTTGTACCCAGTCATGGGTGTATATTTATAATAATATGTATGTATTTTAAGTTATGTACGTATAGTGTAAATCCTATACATATGTATACCATAGATATGTATAGGTATAAAAGAATGTTTCTAAAAAACCGCTTTTATTTTTTATTAAATTTCTGCACTCTTACATTAGTTGTGTCTTCTAAAATCTGTGTATGTTATCTAAAATCTAGCCTGAAACTATCGGAAATCCCGTTTATAGGCACTAAAATAAAGAGATGATGGTCGAATGTAACTTCACTTAATTTTATATGAAATTTAATGTAAAGTAACAGGAGTATCATTTTCATAACTTGGATCGTTTAATGAGACCCGACGAAGTTCAGTGTTGAAGCAAATCCCTATTAATTTTACTAACAAGCAGATATTTTGTTACGGCAAATGCTAAGACAATATCCTTCTAATAGTTCAAGAACTTCAGCTTTATAAGTACAAGCACTGGTATTTTGTTTACCAGATTGCTGAATGTAACATTATATTTTACATTAAGCTCGTATTTGTTTTGATGAGCGTCTAACGAAAATTAATCTTTTTGATTAATGAGTCTCTGATTCACATTTTGGTGTAACTGTTTCACAATAGCCCGGAGCCTGAATTTGTTAAACATAAGGTTTAATGATACTTTAGACCAACTTTGTTCGTCCTTCTCTGTTAGACTTGGCTTATGCGCAGGAGATACTATACCAAGTAAAAATATATTCGTACGTACAGACACAAGTGCACTCTATATTTCTTTACATCTCAAGAATTTCGACGTTTAGCAAATCTTTATATGTTTAATCTGTACTCGGTTACTATGCAAGCGGAGCCGCGGTCTGAAACTAGTTTTATAGTATATTTGAAAAATCTTTAAGGTATCATAGAGCCAAAATACAAAGAGAAATCTATATTGTGTAAAATAAATAGGAATATACTCGTATATGTGGGCGAAGCCGAAAGCAGTAGCTTATTTAATAAATACCGTATTTTAATAATATAAGTTTATTACACCAAGTTTTAATTAAATTAATACAAAACCTATTCATGTGTTACGATTACATTAATATGTATTCGACACATTATCATTAACAGCGTTCAAACACTCTATTACGTATAAATGTTTATTGCGCATTTTCCACGTAAATAGATACTAAAATCTTTGATCGCCAACGCAAATTAATTTGATTATCCTAAAAAGGGAACCGTAAAATACTTAGTGAAAGTTTTGTAAAGTTCAAAAGTCAATAACTTCGTAAGCCCGTCAGGGATCGATCAAAAAAAGAGAATTAGGTACGAACTAGCGACTCAACCACGCTCCGCTCGGATTCGTCCCTAGTTATAGAATTTTATTTCTACGTATAGGTAGATTAATCCTTATATAATTTTTTGATATGATTTCTGAGCGTATTTTTTTCGATGCTTTCTTAGATTTATGATGATTATATTCTCGGGTATATTATATATATTATGAAGATTATTTTCTTGGTTTTTTTGTAGTTTTATTTAGATTATTTATACCCCACATTTCAAATGATTTGCAGCAAACCAGAGTAAGGTTTTTGACGTTTTAAAAGTCATAGTATCAAGGCGGAATTTGTTTTTGAATTTTAAACAATTGAAGAACATGCTGCCAAATTGAGTATCTTTTCTTTTTAAAGTCTTCCCTTGATGCCTGAAAGGAATAAAAAAACAACACACTCTCGTATTTACCATATTACTAAGCATTAATTTTAAAATACATAAACTTGTTTGTCGTTCCAACTTTGGACAAGTAGCAGTAAGCTGGAGTATAATGAAAACTATATATAAAAGTAGCTGCAATGCATTTCTCAAACACGAAACTTTGTGATAAATCTCAACCAATAAATAATATCGAAGTGATACATTTTAAAGTTTTCAAACTTCGGAACGGAACGTTGAAATAAATTGAATAAATATTTTTCGAGGATCTACTCGAATGCATTGCCAGATCCTTCTAACTTTTGCTATCTGGTATGATTTTGCTTATGGTTGAAAAAATTGGTTTTCTGATAAATACACTTTAACTAAATAATACGGAAAAGGATAATATCGAAAAATTGTGTTTTTAGTGTCCTACATTTTTTTTATTTGTTTGTTATGTATGTAGAGAATAATCTCTGGAAAATTTCATCTAATTTTAAGGGATGTTTGACTAATCGACATTATGTTTGAGAAACATAGGGTATTTTTATTAACATCCGACGCGAAAAGAGGGGAGTTATAAGTTTAACGTGCATATGTGTGTGACATCGTAGCGGAAATGAATAAACCGATTTAAATTTTTTTTTGTTTGAAGGTGACTTGATCGAAAGTATTCTTAGCTAACCATAAAATGAATCAAGAAAATCCATTCAGACTACCAACTTTTTTCTAAATGGTAAAGGATATGAACAACTTTCACAATAAATTTACGTTACTTTAATGACATTGCAATGATATGGTAACCTAGGCCTAATACTCCAGCATCACCTACAATCTGCAAGATAGTCAACTCTTTACTAAAGTACTGGAGAGATATCGTGTTATATATAAGCTCATTGAAATAGCCTTAAAATTAATTATTGTGTAGGGGATTTTTGAATTTTTAATTTAAGAGTTATCGAAATTCTACACGAGTGGAGCCTTAACAAAAGGCCTTAAGCTTTCCTTTTATTGTATAAATATAATGCATATTTCTACTTTCCAAAGCTGCATTCCTGAGTGGATGTAGTTTGCAACTTGTAAAACGCAAATATTTCGTTGAATTATCGCGGTAGTATAAATTTCCCGGGGGAAATTATGTGTTAGTTCTAAACGTTATTGCTGTTGAGTTTGGTGTAAGGAGCTATTTTAAACGTCATATGAAAGATTTCGCACAATCACGCACGTGATTTCACAATTCGACAGTTTTCAGGATATTAGCATAACGTAAAAGTATGATTTTTTATTCATTTGCATTACTTGTATTGGAATTTGTATATAAACATAACTAGTAATTCGATTCTTACTCATAGGTATAAAAGGGGAATAATAATACAAAAACTTATAGGTATGATAGAGCGGATTTCTAAGATTATGGATAGAGGAACTCCGTAAATGCCTCGTTTGGGCTCATTTGGATTGTTTCAATAAGTTTTTAACACATATTATTTGTTGTAATCGCGAATACCCTAATAAATCATTAAAAAATAGAACCTATCCTTTCCTCTTAATTTGCCTCGTGTCAACATTTTCTAAAGTTTGATTTTATTAGTACATATCGATTGGAAGCTTTGCAAAATCTGTTTACTTTTTGGCACCATTGATTGTTTTATTTTTTCGTAAAGAAAGTATTTGATTCCGGGATTTTAATAACGAATCTAATGATTAAGTTTTAATTTATAGTAAAACCGACCTTTGACCCTTGAGTATTTTTTTGCGCGAGAATCTATTCCGAATATTTCGCCCACGTTCACTTGAAAAATTAAGTGTTCCCGTAAATATAATATTTTTATTTTAACTTTTCACTTTATTAGATGTTAATTTTACAAATTAGTAATCTTTATATTTTTCCTTTACTACATTTATTATTTTACTTAAAAATCTTGTATCTTGTAATTAATTAATGAACGAGGCGTTGTATACATAATAAAATATATAATTTAAACAAAAATAAATTATTTTTATATAAGGTTTGAAAATAGACATTCATTACATATAATAAATATTGCTGCTTATGATGTCATAACATAACACAAAGATTCATATAATGTGCGTTGTTATTATACATATAATAAAATTGTAATTAAACCGAATCTGTACATTAAGACAATAATTCTATAGTTTTTAAAATTATTGTCTATCTATCTGTAACCGCGTTATGGAAAAACCACTAGAGGGAATTTGATAACATTTGGTATGATGATAGCTGGTTATCCGGGTCAACATATAAGATACTTCTTACTGCGGGAAAATATCTCATCTCTAAGAAATCTATACTAAATGTTATAACGTGAGTAGGAACGAACCCGAGCAAAGCGAGGGTGAGTTGCTAGTCGTATATATATAAATAATAATTAACAGCTTTTTTTAAAAAACTCAAAAGATACATTATTTTAAATTAATGATGTACTTCATTATTTTTTATTATTATTAATTAACCTTGACGTATAGCTTATTGATTAAATAAAAGATTTATAGAATTGGTTCAAAATGTATCAAGAACCTTTTCTGAAACTTGGTTAAACATCTATTACGCCTATAAACTTTTATCATAACTTTTACGCCATCGCAAATAACTTTCTAACCCAATTTGCTCAGAAATATTCACGTGCAAACAGACCTGTTACAGGTTTATTAAGTGTTTAGGAACAGATACGAGGCTTTTGCAAAAGCGTCGCAACTATTTTCAATACACACGAAATTGAAAAAAGCTATCATACTATACGCACGGTCGAAACGTCCTTTGTGAGGATGAAACCAATCGGTCACTACACTATACAGAGGATATGCTTTTCGTAGATGAAAAATACCATAGTAATATTATAACATAAAAGTTATTTTCATAGAAAAATTGGGATTTTGGATTGGAAAGTCAGTTTTGATTTCAATTATTTCATATTTTTCCGATCTGTCTTTTCGTGAAGCTAAAATAGGAAATAGACTGGAGGTGCCGCTTGTAAATCTAGATAGTCTAGGTATAAGTATGATTTTTAGAAAAAATCGTAGCATACAGAAAAACGAATTTCTAACACAGATTGCATACAAAAAAGACTTTTCTGGATTCAATGTGGAAATTCGATCCCAATATTGCTTTGACATGAAGTTGTAAACTCGACCTACTATTAATTGAAAAACCATTTTCATATTGGTTTTATGCACAACAATGAGATGGAAACGCACAAGGGTCTATGAAAATATTTTTCAAAATTAGAAAAACTTTGTTCAGACGCCAACAAGAGAATACCTGTGTATGTATATATTAATGAAACTTATTCAAATGAATCATTACGGCGCGGTAACTCATCTATACTAGTACATATTATAAACAGAAAAAAAAAGTATTTTTATTTGTAAAGGATAAACTAAAAATCCGCTGAAACGATTTAGATGAAATTTTGATATGAAGGTAGTATGAGACTGGGAAGGACATAGCATAGTTTTTATCTCGGAAATCATCTTGTAAGGGGGTGAAAATGGGGATGAAAGTTTGTATAGGGAATCAATCATTTCTCAAGTAAAGGATATAAAACTCATCATATCATATCAATACCTATATAATTTATCTATTTCATACTGACCGTTAAAATGTGGCTATTGTACAAGATTCTGACTCAATATTTCATATCATCAAAATTTAATCAACTGCGCCCGCTTTCAAATACTACAAATTCATCTGTTACACTGAACATAGGTCCATGGTGAAATATCGGTGAAGCGCGAGTCAAACTCCCTTGCCGATTGATCTTAAATAATGCCATATAATATTTTGTAATATTTACCCATAAAGTAGAACCTTAATGGTCATGAATAGTGATTGAAACCCTCAGCGTAATTGTGGCTCCCACTCGGCCAGTTTTCATTATATCCTTATTTATTAAGCAGGATATTGCGATTGGCGAGATCAGTTTATTTTATCCTGGTAATTAAATCTAAATTATATTTCTAATTTTACATACAACAAGTGTTGATCGTGGTTCTTTTTGTATAAAGTAGCCTATTCTCTCTATTATTTAGCTCTCTATTCCGTTTCCATTTTTTTTCGCTTTTTTTCAAATGAAATGTTAATATTAATTTTGTTTTAAACGTTTTTATTTAACCTTAACTGTACATACTGCATTATTCTCTTTTTTCATACTTTAAACTTTTTGGTTAGGTTTGTTTATATAACTATATTTATTTGAACGTTGTGTACAAATACAATTGGACAGCAAATATAAAATCATATTTAATCTTTAAAGTGCCTAACGAAATAGAAAAAACGTGTTGAGTTGAATTTCTTATTTCACGATCTATATACGAATAGCTTCTTTCAAGCAAAATTAATAATGTGTTTGCTCTGCAGTGTGCAATAGAATTTATTTATATCTATCTATGACATAATAAAAAAAAGTATTTTAAAAGAATTTTATATCAAATATTTCCTTGTAGGGAATTTCATATTGATGTTCACACATACAAAGCGATATTTTAGCAAACCTCCCGTTTCACGTCGTGTATCCGAACAATGTGTGGAAGTTGTGAACATTTTGCATTTAGTTGTAATTAGATTCAAACAAGTTGTAAGTGTATTCATTAATATAATACTAGTTAATTAAATAATAAAAGTAATATAATTGTTACAGATTTTTCAATTCAATTCTCTATAGCATTGCATTATATAGCATTAAGTATGAGCTTGAGATTCACTTATGAAATGGAGAAAATATGACGGGTATGAAAAATGATGAAATACAAATTCATTTTTTTTCTCTCTCTGTCTCTATATTTTATAGTCTAAAGGAATAAGATTCACTGATTATTCTATGATAATTATCCTTGTTATAAATTGTATTATCAACATTTAATTAATTGTAAGATTGTTTAAGCTTCAATCGCAATTTTCCATACGCTTATCTATATTTTAGTTTGAGTTTCTTACCGTTTTGAGTTTCTACTTCTCTACTTTGTTTACAATATATTACGTAGGTTTTGAATCATTTGTCACGGAAAAACAGTGACAAGGAAGTGATGTAATATGAATATATAAGTGATTGTAGTATTGTCAGATTTGTTACATAAGTGGACAGCTCAAGAACCATACCCACGTGTTTAGTTATTTTCAAGTTTAATGTAACTTACTATCTAATCTTATGTACATATTGAAGTAATTTAGATTTTCTCTTTTTCATTTTTCCATTTCCCATTTTTTCTTTCTTCCCCTATTAATTATCATCAAAGAAACAAACAAACAAACAACTCGCAAAGAAAAGCTTCTAAAAAATATTATTCTTAAATGAAATCAATGAATCTTCAGCCTAATACTTTAAGCAGTCTAAATTAATTAAATCAATTGAAAACTTACCTCAAAAGGGGCTTCCCCATGGTGTTTATTATTCAGGATGAGGAACGAGCACAGCGGCCCCCTCGCTCGGATCGCCGGCGTTACCTCCACTAGCGTCTCGTTCTCTCGGATCAACCCATGGTAGCCTTCATCTGGTTCTGCTAGCTCTAAGTATGGAATGTCTGAAACAAAAATAATTAGGTTGTAAGCATAGTGTTAAGGTCATACTTTAAATTTATTTATTTATTTTATTAGAACAACAACAAAAGTTTCATTAATACATTCGCGGATACATTTACAAATGACAGATAAATGTAATTTTTTTACAGGCTATCACATCATGCATTAAATTAATATAAATTTAAATTAATATAAATAAGTCGTATCAAAATCAAACAAGTAAAAATCGTAGTAAATAAGTTCAGTAAAGTAAGAAAATCATAATTGATATGCGAAAATTATCATCAATACATATTTTAAAATTCTGAGTCGAATTTGTACATTAAATATATTTTTGGAAAGTCTTATTGAAATAGTCAGTTATCGATATAGAGGTTGAATCAATAGTTTTTAGAATTTTTGTCTGTCTGTCTATCTGGGACGCATCACGAGAAAACCATTAGACAGATTTTGATGAAGTTTGGTATGATGATAGCTGGTTATCCGGTTCAACATACCCATAGGATACTTTTTTTTCTACGGGAAAATATCTCATCTCTGAGAAATCTATACTAACCGTTAAAAATTCGCTAGTATATTTTAAATCATTAAGTAGCTATAGCATAAATCCAATGAATTTATTATTTGTCATAATAATTACGTATGGAATAACGAAACTGTAATTGACGCTGCATTGTTAATCGCGACTGGTTTATTTACAGCTTGTCACTTCACCGCCAAAGGTAGAGCCTCAAATAGAAATACCAAAACCTGATAATTACTGATACAGTATGAATCAAAGTTCTCCTTTATTTTGGGAACTTTGATTTTACTAAAAAAATGCATCTCGTGCATTACCTCAAAAATTACTTTTATAACACTTTGTTCCACAAATAAAATATATATTCTTTATTGCATATTAACAGAGTAACATAGATAATACAGAGACCAATGTGGGCAAAGGTGGACTTATCTCTAGAAGAGATCTCTTCCAGCTAACCTATGGAAGTGAGAAATAGTGTTATATGACGGGACTAAAAGAATGCAATTGATTTAAAATAAAATTATAAATAATTATACAATTAAATAAGATAAAAAGACACATATAATGATAAATATACAATAACTTACATATTATACATACTATATACACATATACATACGTATATACATACATATTAAAGTATAAATATAATCGTATGCATTTGGAATACATAAAAATAGTGTATCTGATAGTAAAATTAAGGCCCAATATGTGACAGAAGGTACTGTTTTAATTATTTTTTAAGAAGTTATAGAGGGGCTTTCTTGGATGTATTTAGGGAGTTTGTTCTAGAGTAATGAGGCATATACTGAGAAAGAGTGCGAAAAAAATATATAAAAGAATATTTAAAAGAAAATATAATATTAAAGATATGTATGTGCAAAGGCGTAAACAATAAATATAAAATACTTTAATTGTACTTATTTTATTACATTATAATATATTAATTTATATCAATAAAACTATTTTTTCGGATTATTTCGCGGATTTATTTTGATTTTTGGTTCCCGACGTTTCGAATGCTTTACAGCAATCATGGTCACGGGACACTGAGGTGTTAGATGTCTCTAAGGTAAAGTTGTTACAGACGGCCTACCCACAAATAACAAAATGAAAATTGTACCAAGTATCCAATATTTTATAACTTTAAACATTTTTTATAATTTGAATTAGTCTTATAATTGAATATGGAATATTATTTATTTAATTTTTGCTGTCATTATTATAATTATTACCATTTTAAAATATTAATTAGTAATCTATATTTAGTGTTGCCATTATTATATTTATAACCATAAAGAAAAATATAAAATATAATATTTATTATGTATATTATACTATACGTTTTAATCGATCAAATATATAAAATATAGCATAAGCTGCTTGCTTTGCGAGTTCACATAAAAAGATCTGTATCACGTGGGCAAAGTCAAAGGTACTAACTAGTAAAATAATCATGTACATATGTCTGTTCATAATAATAAATGTGCACAAGTAGTGTAAAGTATAATGCATGATGAAGATCTGTTACGTCTTACGTCGTACATTGTAATTATCTAATATAAAAAATATCTTAACTGAGATAGAGTTTATCGCAATAGATGTTGAAGTTATTGCGAAAGTTACAAGTTCGGTCTTACGAAGTAAAAAAGCTGACCAGTCGTATACGTAACATGGGCGATGGCAAAATCAAGTTTAGTTTTCATTATTCTCCATTGATTTTACTCTCGTTTGCGCATTTCAGCTATTATTATATTTCTTTAATTTTAAATAAAAAATATTTGGTTTTGATAAGAAATAATCAAATAAATGTCTTTAATAAAACTATATTTTCGGATTTTTTTGCAGATGTATTTAGATTTTTTTATTTGGAATACTTTACAAAAAACATTGTCACGGGAGAGACATGACTTTGAAAAGAGTTCTATTTTAAAATATCATATATTCGCGTAAATCTAGGAACGTATCAAATAAACTTAGATAAATCGGTTTAGTAGTTACTCTGTACAACGACATATCGTTGCTCTACTGAGAACACATACATACATGCATAATATATAAAGCATCTATTCAAGTAATATGACAATCTTGCATTACTCATGAGGCCTCTTGCCGCTTAATGTGCTTGTTAAAATATGTATGGAAACCGCAGAAGCCTGCAGTTTGGATAACGGCCAAGGAACGTACACGTAATGTGAAATTGTTTGGAGTAATTGGAGTTTTTGACCGTCCTCAATTTATTGTTCGGTTAATCGGTTTTGTGTTCGGTCACTTGTGCCTTTGTGGAGTTCTCTACAAGTTCACTCTTGTAAATATTGACATTATTATTAAATTCTGGTTCAATTTTTTATTTGTGGTTTCATCAGAACATATTCACGTAAACAAAAGCAAAATGACATGAATGACATGATGAAATACAAAAATAGAAAAAAAAAATTTTAGTATATAGACTTAGGAACTTTTAACATACTTTCTAATACCTGCGATAGAGTAATTAATTGTTCAAATGCCCATTTACTTAACAAACTGTTAAGATTTTTAAATTACTAATAAAATTCGGTATTAAACTTAAATATTGTGGTACGTTTCATTGGCATTTAACGACACCAAGACTAGTGAAGGATGGACGGAGAGCAAATAAGCTGTTCAAATTGTGCTGAGTAAAATCTGAAAATACCTTGAACAGCAGTGGTCTCAATTGAGGACAATCGGAGTGCAGAGTCTACTCTAGATTGCCAAATTGAATCTACATGGGAGTTGCGATTTGAGCACTTCAATTTCGAGTTCCGTTGTACTTGTACATACTCAAATTGGCTGTATCATAACAACTAGTGTTCGCCCAGTGGTCAAAATTCGGTCATAACCATTAGATAGAATTTGCCTATTTATATGAAAAAGAAGTAAGTTTCCAAAAATTTTTATTGATAACGCTAAAGCTTATCGAGTACGCTTACGAGTAGCTACTAAAGATAAAAAAGAAAATTGGTTCACAGACATAGAAGAAACAAGTACTGAGCTGTTTTGTCTTTGCCTATTTATATATAGTCACATATCGCTTTTTCGCAACGATAACGGTACGGTAATTCTATATAACTTTTCACTACTTGTACATACTCAAATTGGCTGAATCATAACAACTAGTGTTCGCCCAGTGGTCAAAATTCGGTCATAACCATTAGATAGAATTTACCTATTTATATGAAAAAGAAGTAAGTTTCCAAAATTTTTTATTGATACGCTAAAGCTTATCGAGTACGCTTACGAGTAGCTACTAAAGATAAAAAAGAAAATTGGTTCACAGACATAGAAGAAACAAGTACTGAGCTGTTTTGCCTTTGCCTATTTATATATAGTGACATATCGCTTTTTCGCAACGATAACGGTACGGTAATTCTATATAACTTTTCACTACAGGCTAATATCCTGTGGGAACCTTTTGATTAAGTACCGTGGTATAAATTACCCTACTTCACTATTATTTAGCATTAATCATAACGATCTTTGTCTGTTTCGCAAAAATAGCATAAAATCATTAAAATACTTGAAAAGAGTACTAACATAGAGCTTGCTTATAATAAAATTTAAGTTTTTAAATAAAATATTATGGATAAAATCTGGAATATTCTGTTAAGCGCATACTCGAGTGAAATGCCCAATATAAATTCATTCAACCAAATAGCAGGTACCATCCTGGTAAATTTAATAATCGCGCCCGCAGTTAGGGCCGGCGCAAACATAACGGTTACGATTTTATCGCAAGAACCTTTTAGGATTTTAATGCAACATCGCATTAAGTACGTTATTAATTTATTTTGAAACGTTTTTGATTTATTGTAGGAATCCTTTTAATTTCTTATAATAATAGTTTAAATAGTCATTCGATTGAATATAGGCAACATTTTATACTTTTTTCTTACGTAGCTATTTTTGTTAATTTCTCTACAGGAAATTCAATTTGGGTCAACAGTACTCCTCTCTATCCGCTTATTACGCTCGTATGTTTCTTAATCTTCCGGTGAAACCGATATACCTTTGTGAAATTGTATCAAGCTATTAAAAGTCCTTGACCTGACTTCATCAGTGCCCAGAGGACTCCGCCGGTTTTGAGTGGAGTAGTAGAGAATAATTTTGACAACTTTACTACAACTTGTACCATTTATTCTTGTGTTTAGTTTTTTCTGACGTGTCACTGCCTCCCTTCAATACGAAAGGGATCAAGCCATAGTCCAGCATACTGGTCAAGTGCTGGTTGAGCACTTTACATGTTTTTCAAAAGCTTACTAGATTTTCTCAGATATACAGCTTTCCTTGCGATGGTTTCCTTCGCCGTAAGACAAGTCGTAATCATGCTGAAAATGATTCGCATAATATAAATGGTTTTGAACGCCCTAGATTTCCAAAGCGATCTAGCCTTACCAGTGAACTACCGTTGTATTTATTGATTTTTGAAAAATAAAAATAAGCAATAAAACATGTTTTTTTAATAAACTTCTACAGAAGTGAACATTTTGACTATATTTTTTGGGCATCGAATACAAAAAAGGCTATAATTTTTATACCTAATAAAATAATTGTACAACACAACATAATCAACTTTTAGAAGACTTGGATACTTTTGAGTTTTTCCTATTTTCCTAATTAATATACGCGTAAGGTCATTACTTTGATACTTTATAAAAATAAAAAAAGGCTATGTGATATATGCAAGAATAGGACATTGGCCAATACCAAATAAATCTGATACTCAAGAACCGCGTACGATCGGAGGGACAAGCCAACAAAATAACTCCATCAGACATTCCAGTCACAAGATAGCAATCGTAAAATTGACCCTTGGACCAAACGGGTTTTACGAGCAGAGACAGATGCTATGGCTGTTTATTTGATAGATGCCAATCTCAAGTGAAGGAAGGCGTCCTTCTCGTATGTTTATGGTTATTCACCTTAAGAGCTTTGTTTATGTGAACAGATTTAATATATTATATTAGCAGTAACATCTACTTTAAAATACAAAAAAATATTTCTTAAAAGAAATAGCCATTAAGGTACAATATATCACTGCAGATCTGTTTATTTTAAGGATCGTTTATTTAAAATCTTAATTCTATGCAAAACGATTATTATGTGTACGATTGTGCGTAACCTTCAGTAGTTAACGTGCACGTTTTCAGAGGCAGCAGACTTGAGATACGAGTCAGTGTAAGAATGTTAAACTACGAAAATAGGTTTTTGAAGTAATTCTCAGTAGCAGCCCGTAGTTGGAAAGTTAGTCGTGTTAACCCCCATGCCTCTGAGAGTACGTAAAGCTGTCAGTCTTGCACCTTATCTCTCACAGGACATGTTGGATTGTCGTTTACACATGCACTGCACTATTATATCTTCAGTGAAATTGGCTAGTTAGTAAGATTGACTATCGTAAACGAAATTTGGGTCTGGGCCTACTACTTTAGATCTTACATATTTGTTTTGGCCTCAGAAGTGAGCTATATTTTGTATCAAATAAAGGATTTATCATTTTTATGTAATATAGTTTAAGGAATCTAAAATAGGATAAAACTTTAATAAAGCTTTTTAATTAGACATTTACTTTATTTGCTAAAGCATACATAATAACGCCCGTGATAAGTTTTCTCCGTAACGTAAAAGCTTCCATAAAGCTGTTCACCTTTGTCGGGCTTTCTAATACACCTTCCTTTCAAAGCTTGCCTTAGTTTATAATAATAAGTTGCTATTTTTAGTTTTCTTACATGTAACACACATGCTATTTGTGTTGTTTTTAAACGAATATTATTTAGAAATTTCATGTTATTTTCAACTGAATACAAAAACTTTGAAGGTCAATGAAAGCGCCGCACCGCCAACCATCCCACGGTGTGGACACTCCATGCCGGAAATAAATTTCTCACAAAGAGAAGTCCGGCGGGAGCTGCTAAGTCTTGATGTTCATAAGTCGAGTGGGCCCGACGGCATACCAGCAGTGGTACTCAAACAGTGTGCTCCTGAGTTGTGCCCTGTACTAACGCGACTTTTCGCACTTTCCTACCAATCTAGGCAAGTACCGTCTTCGTGGAAGACCGCCCATGTGCACCCGGTGCCCAAAAAGGGCGATAGATCAGACCCATCGAATTACAGGCCTATCGCTATTACCTCTCTTCTCTCCAAGGTTATGGAGCGTGTTATTAATACCAAGCTCCTCAGATACCTAGAGGAACACGATTTGATCAGCGACCGGCAATACGGCTTTCGCCACGGTCGCTCGACTGGTGACCTTCTAGTGTATCTGACACACCGGTGGGCTTCAGCCATCGAGAGTCAAGGTGAGGCGTTGGCAGTTAGCCTAGATATAGCAAAGGCGTTCGATCGGGTCTGGCACCGGGGTCTTCTCTCGAAGTTGCCATCTTACGGACTACCCGAGGGCTTGTGCAAATGGGTTGCCAGCTTTTTATCTGGTCGATCCATCAGAGTCGTCGTTGATGGCTGCTGCTCGGAAAAAACTAGATATAAACGCTGGCGTCCCGCAAGGTTCTGTGCTGTCTCCAACGCTTTTCCTTCTGCATATCAATGACTTGCTGTCTATTGATGGCATTCATTGCTATGCGGACGACAGCACTGGAGACGCTTTCTACACAGGCCGTGCAAACATCCCTCGCTCCGCTGTGGTAGAAAGTCGCGAACAACTTGTGTCTCAAATCGAGAGTATTCTTTCCAGAGTCTCCGATTGGGGTCGGGACAATTTAGTCCAATTTAACCCCTCCAAGACACAAGTTTGTGCGTTCACCGCTAAGAAAACCCCATTTACTGTGGCCCCTCAATTCCAGGACACACCCCTAACCATCTCCAACAGTATTGGTATTCTGGTGTCGACATATCCAGCGACGTCCAGTTCCGAAGTCACCTGGAAGACAAGGTCAAGCTGGCATCCAAAAAGCTAGGTGTGCTTAATAGAGCGAAGCGGTACTTCACGCCGGGACAAAGACTGCTTTTATATAAATCGCAAGTCCGTCCCCATATGGAGTACTGCTCGCATCTCTGGGCGGGAGCACCGGCATACCAGCTTGGGCCTTTTGACTCGGTTCAGAGGAGAGCTGTGAGAATTGTCGACGATCCAATACTCACAAGCGATATAGAGCCCCTAAGTCTAAGAAGAGATTTTGCGTCCCTATGTGTGCTCTATCGTTTGTACAATGGGTTGTGTTCCGAAGAATTGTTCGAAATGATGCCCACGCCCACTTTCTATCACCGCACCGCTCGCCATCGACAGCGAGTTCATGCTCACACATTGCAGCCCAAATGGTCCCGTACAGTTCGGTTTCAGAGGAACTTTCTCCCACGGACCATCTCGCTGTGGAATGAACTCCCTGCCGAGGTTTTCCCAGAGGGCTACAGTATGGGGTCCTTCAAAAGGGGAGTAAATAGGTTTTTAAAGGGTCGGCAACGCGCATGTGATGCCCAAGGTGTTGCAGGCGTCCATAGGCTGCGGTAACCGCTTACCATCAGGCGGGCCGCATGCCTGATTGCCACCGACGTGGTATAAAAAAAAAAAAAAAAAAAAAAAAGGAGGAGGTTCTCAATTCGACTGTTATTTTTTATGTTTGTTACCTCAGAACTCCGTCATTTATTAACCGATTTGGACAATTTTTATGTGGTTTGAAAGTGTATACTTCCAGATTAGTCCCATTTAAATTTCAAAAAAAATACCACTCCTAAGGGTGGAAAAATAGCTAATGATGAATTTAACCTAATTGTCATATTGACTTGAAACTTTGCAAGTGTTTCTATTTCCGTTGATAGTAAGAACAGTGGTTCGGTATTGTTGACGTGATATGATGGTAAGGCCAGAAGGTGGATAGGTGGAACTCTTCAACGGCTAATAGTAGATACTTTGAGTTTGGGCTTATTTTGTTTGATATGACAAGCCTAACACGTTAGAATTCTTACTTTGCTACTACTGTCTACACTAAAAAGGGAAAAATAAAAACTTTTTAACAAAAACATAAAAACCGACTTCAAACAAAAGCACTAAAAAGTAAAAAATAACTGATTGGTAGTTTTCATTTACTATACATACCTAATCAAATATTTTCGAAGTCGGTGTGCTTTGGCTAAGTAAATAAAGCCTACCTATTAAATACATACCTAATCAAATATTTTCAAAATCGGTGCCAGCCCATACAAAGCAAAGCACTGCAAAAAGCTTGGTAGAACTGTAGTAGCTTTGTAAAAGCTAAATGTTTCAGTGAGCAGCCGTACTTTAGGCATTGAATTTACACTATACACTATATAAGTTGGCAATTTTGTTAGCCTCTCGTTGGAAGAATGTATACTTCGCTATAATGCGAGTAAAATGTGTTGTTAACCTGCACTAAAATTTTAAACATGCCCCAGTTAATGGCTTCAATATATGCGAGTTAATTAAACTTCATGTGGCATTTGATGGATAATATTCGAAAATTGTACGTTAAAAGAAATATTAATGAGCAATTTTCAGACATAAATGTTAGGGATATATCTTTTGGATCTACCCTAGATCCCCTACAAGATAAATTAATATCGCTAATAGAAAACTTAAAAGCGAGTGATGCACATGACATAATGTTTTAATATTTAATTTTCTTGTTCGTAAGCTATTGTAGTTTGTTAACTTGTCGCATATAAAGTTATTTGTTTTTGCTCCTTGTTAGGACGATGAATAGTGATTTGCAAGTTTCAAACTTTATTAAATTGAGAGTAATTAAACAAAGTTTTCCGCCTTTTTCAAGCAAGAATATGTTTTCTTCTTTTATTTCAATGTATTTTTCAAGTCAATTTGTCCCACGTTGGGCACCAGAGGTTCACAAAATTTATGAATTTTCAAGAAAATATGAAATTAAACTTTGGAAATTTCTATTTTTGAAGTTCCATGTTATAAGCAATAAATTCCTATAGTTCAACTCGAGTAGAAAGATACTTTCCCGAGTCTGCGGTGAGCACATAAAGAAACTACGAGAATTTTCTATGAAAGAACGATTAAATTGGCCGTGATATTAGCTTGTCGCAGACGGGATAAATATAAGCGATATTATTTTATAGAAATCTTCAAATGTATGAACATTTGGAAATACGTTAATAAGACTTTTCAATATCCATACAATGTTAATGCAGTATTTCTGAATCATA